TTCAAACAAGCATTGCATTGGCCTGAAATAATGGATACAGGAAATAAAAGACGAAAAAAAGAGAAGATTCATTTGTTGCATCATCTAAACAGTGGCAAGAATACCATTTAAGAAAAGAAAAAGGAAAAATTGGAACTAGAAAGAACAAAAAGATTGAGAGCTGAACAAAGAGCAAAGGTGAAAGAAGAGAAAGAAAAAGCAAAACAGTTGAAAACTGCAAGAAAAGGAAAATAAAATGGTTTTAAAGAGGACCAAAAAGAAGCGTCAGAAAGAATGGTCTGACTCTGAAACTGAGGAAGAGTGGGTCGAATCTGGTAGTAGTATAGATGATATAGTAAGTGACTTTCAGGGATACATGGGAAAAGAAACTATACTGGAAGAAAATGATGTTGAGAGTGACTTGAACCAGTGGATATATAAGAAGGGAGATTTCGTGTTAGTACAATTTCCTGGTAAGAAGAAGTTTCATAAATATGCGTGTATAATACAGGACATTTATGAAAAAACTGAGTATGAAGTGGTTGCGATGAACTGTTGCAATGGCCTAAAAACATTGTTTAAATTGAATGGAAAAGATGTTAGTGTAATTAATTTAAATCAAATTATAAATTGTCTTTCTACTCCTACTCTAAATACCTTAAGAGACAGAGTTCGGTATGAATTCAAAACTCCCATAGATGTAGATGGCTAAATGTGGCTGAAGTACGTTTGTGACCATCACTGATTTTTTTTCATGACAACAACTGATATTTTGTTTTATTGCACTGACAACTACTGATTTTTTGCATAACTATACGTAAGATTTTTTTATGTTTCTTATTTTTAAAACTTCAAGACAGAAAAAATTAATTGTAAATAATACACATCTCAAGCGTTTATTAAAATTTTAGTTGGAATTATAACTTAAAGTAGGCGCCAAAAATATATTTTTGTTTTATTTCCGTCCTTAACACTGACCACTACTGATTCATTACCTTATTGTTGTTGACAACATTGCTATATGAAATGAAAAGATGGAAATTTGTGTGATAGAAAAAGATGGAAAGTGTTATAGAATATATATAGAAGGAGGATATCATGGATCAAATAAAAAACCAATATCTAAGGCGCTAGCATTTGTAGACTACGAAAAAGCTTTCGATACCATAGAACACACTGCCGTAATAAACGCAATGCAAAATTGTAGAATAGACAGCAGATATATTAACTTAATAAAAGAAACTATGAACCAAGCTTGTAACAGTCAGATATTGTACTTGGTTACAATGCTGTTTAATATTAGGATTTTCATTTCGCTTGTTGAAACTCCATCCGATATTAATTTCTTGGAAATTTTTATAAAGCTGAGAGTACTAAATAGGAATACTCGAGTGTTGTTGAAAAAAATTGAAATTGAAGGTATTACACAATCGAAGAACTCAAAAAAATCAAACATTTCCGGTACTCTTGTTCCAAATCGTATTTTGTTTTCGAAATAAATTTAAATTTGGGAATTTTTATTATTTTTCCACTTTTTTCATGTTCTTTTTTAATTTAATTTTAGTGTATAAAATGCATTACAATATTATCCAAATTTTATTTGGAAGTTTTCATCTTAAGTGTTCAGAAACAATTTGCTAGGAAATGAAAATTTGTTTTTTTATTAGTTCTCGATTTGCTACAATATTTCTCATTTGATTTAATAAAAATATTGTAAATAATTTTTTTTGAATAATTATAACAACGACTCACGACTCGGATCTGAGTCTTTTCTTCTTTTCGCATAAAATATTACAAATTTATTTAAAATACCCTTTATTTATTCATTCGATTCATTTTCTATTTACACAAAAACAACACAAGAGTTCAAATTATAAACACAAAACTAAATTTATAATATTTCACAACGGTCAAAAACCATACTTAAAAGTATTCACACCACAGAATATTAGTTATACCGTTGATTGAATAAAACGGTTATACGCAAATATTCAAACAGAATCAACAACTAAATATCTGACACAGTGTCTCAAGTACGATTGCGCGCAGCCGTGGATTTTATAAGACACACTCGGTCTGTAGATCCTTGTTACTCATCACTCGACACTCAATTGTATAATAGACTGTAACTCAGACCACTCTATCAAGTTCTATATTCGGCAGGTATTCAGTACTCAGTACTCAATTGGTTTCCAGTTCGAGTACTTGAGTACAATTGATGTTGTAAGGAATCAGATACTATTCGATTCCAGTACTCAAATACTTCCATCTTTAGTTCTAAGCAAAACCTCGTAATAACTGTGTTCATTATAGAGGGAGTATACTGTATATGTTGACAGACTAGTTACATTATCAGAACCTTTGGCTACAACAGTTGGTCCTTTCCTCAATCCTATTAGTCTTCCAACTGAAGAAGAATGATAGATATTAAAAGAACTTTGCCATATTTTAAAGCCTTTTGAAGCAGTTACTGTTGAAATGAGCACAGAAAGCAAGTAACCCTCTCCAAAGTTATACTCATTATAAAAGGACTACTTTCGTCCTTATAGCAAATTAAAGATAAAGTATATAGTCAAGCAGGAAGAACTGTAATAAATTTTATGCTTGCCTCCATTATTGTCTGTTTTGGAAATCCTTGAAAACAATCTTATACTGGGTAGGTAAAGCTTCTTTCTTGGATACAATATTTAAAACCAATGCATTCAGCAAAGAAGACATTTGGCAGGATTTTGATATATGTGTAAAAAACTCTTTGCATGTGACAAGTCCAATAGCAGTTGCCATCGCCGAAATCAAAATATTTTCTTAAGAGCCAAACCTTGAAAGAAAAATTGATCCTCTCGTTTGGTGGTGTAAGAGCCAAAGAGAGTATCCCTGGTTATCTAAATTATCCAAAAAGTATTTATGCGCATGAGCTGCTTATGTTCCATGCAAACACATCTTTTCTAAAGCCAGTCAAATAGTAACTGAATGCAGAAACAGATTAAAATCAAAAAATTTAGAAAAGCTACTATTTTTGCATTGTAATAATGATTTATAAAAATAAGTATCTTTTATTTTTTTCCATTTGTCAATTATATTTTATTGTGTATTTTTCTTTTGCTTTGTGAAAATAAGGAAGTATGTATTATGTTTAATAAAATCCCAGTTAACCAAGTTTGGACTATTTTTATTAACCCTCTCGGTAAGTCGTCCCTGAGGATGACATTCCATTAATTCAAATAATTTAATAAGTAACATGTTGTGTCGATCAAACCGTTTAGACGTCTTTTAGTATGTTTCAAAGTAATACATTGTTGACCGTTTGAAAACTGTACGATGCGCCATTCAAAATTTATTACCAGTCGATTAAGAACAATAAGTGAGTAGACACGTATTTATTATTGCTCCGTATTATGAACAAATAAAAAATTGTAACAGATATTTCTAAGTATCGGATTATACTAGGAATTTTCGTAGTGAGTATATAAATATATATATATATATATATATATATATATATATATATATATATATATATATATATTCCTAATTTATTGTTCAATATTGTGCAATATGTAGTTTGTTCTCTGTATTTGTTATATTGTATTGTCATCCTCAGGGATGACAAAACGCTTTACGTGAATTATTTTTTTAATATTCACTATTGTTCTTGATAAAACTTTTTGTGAATTTTGAGTTTTTTATCACCTAAATTTATTTTTGTTGGTTTGTAGAAAGACAAAAAGAAGAAACAATGAACAGACAGCTACCACAACGTTTTTTTATTAGAAAAAAATTGTCACAGTACAATGAATTTGAAAGACAAAAGAAGTATAATTTCTCAGATATATCTGAAGAAGAACAACAGGAGTTCATGAACTGGATTGAAAGTTCTGAGGAAGAAGTGGAGGGTGATTTTGACGATGATGATGACATTGCAGATCCAAATTATATACCAACTGATATAACTCCGGTAGATGAGCAGTGTATTTCCGAATGCATCGAAGAAATTAATACAGCTGAGTCCCAGACTCTTTCATGGAAGCAGTTCAATACATTCTATACCGTCGAGTCCATGCTGATAAATCTACTAATAGTGATGAACCAAAGGAGAAATTAAACCAATTACTTTAATTTCCTGAACAGATAGCTGCTGGCCTTGTGGCATATACACAAAGACGTTCTGTTGGTTGACCATCTTCTCACAGTCCTTACATCCTGGTACTAGTAATGTTGGTCAGAAAGCTAAATATCCTGTAGCCAATATCAGATACGCCAACTACGACCATTTTCCAATATGGCTAGGTAAATCAGGAGAAAGAAAGAAATGTAAATATTGCAAAGACTTTGTAACCCAATGTGTTTGCCAAAAGTGCCACCTACATTTGTGTTGCTCTAGCTCAAAAAATTGTTAATACGATTATCATCATAAATAATGTAATTTCCTTGTCTGATATTTTATTCAAATAAAAATACATTTAACGAAATATACTGTTTTATTTCACTTAAACCGTTTTGTCGTCCTTGAGGATGTCTTACGTTTTTTTTAACTGTCGAATCAGCCAATAGGGAAATATTTATAAGAACTTCATATTCGTCATTCTCATAGCAAGATTAACTAGAAACAAAAATTTATGTAGGAAAATATGCACTATTTCAGATTTTCCGGTTAGAGGGTTAACATTAAGTGCCGAAGTCTATTACCATTAACTTTTAAATATTAATCACTAAAGCCATGAATATCATACTCTAACTGAAGACTAAAAGAATTGAAAGTTACAAGTATAAAGTGCTAGGTATTGATATTTAATTTTTATTAATATTAAGTACCGAAGTCTATTACCATTACCTTTTTAATACTAATCACTAAAATAAAGTCATTAATATTGTACTCTAACTGAATACTAAAAGTACCCAAGGTAAAGAGTATAAAGTACTGGATATTGATATTTAAAGTAACGAATCATTAGAAATATTCAAAATTAACGAAAATTTACATCACTATAAAATATAATTGTATTTAATTTGATGTTACTTGCCTAAATTTGTGTTATTAGTAGATTCATCTTCATGTTGTTCAATCATGCTCTCCTTTTCCCTATCCAACTTTGCTAGTTGCTTAGGATCAGGAATTCCCATACTAGTTTCTAAAACACTTGTTAAACCTTGAGATACTTGGTTTGTAAGAGTTGTAACACCTTGGGTAGCTGTTGTAAAAATTGATGATACACCTCCCCAATTACCCCAACCTGACCATGAAGGTTCTGAAGGTTGTTCTAGTTTTTGTGGTTCCACTTTTTCAAATGATTCCCAATCATCATTGTCCCACATATTTTCTTCAACATTGTCTTCCATATTTTCCTTTGATTTGCTTTCAGGAAGTTCATGTTGTTGGTGTTTATTTGGAACTTTAATATCCTTTTCATAGCTAACTGGCTCCCAATCATCATTCTCCCACATATTTTCTTCACTATCAGATATTTTCTGTAGTTCCTCTTCAATATTATCTTTATTGCTATTATCTAGATTTATATTAGGTGTTTCTTTCTTGAGATTATTGATATCTACATTATGTGAAAGATCACTGATACCTTTATTTCTTGTAACAGATAATTGATGTTCACTTTCATTGTTAACTGTTTTTATAGTTTTCTTATCCATTATTACTGTATCTATTTTAATTTGTGTACTATTACACGTGTTTTCATTTTTACTGTTATTTTCAACATCACTTTGTAAGTCGACATTTTCTAATTTTTTTCTTTCTGTTATTTTTTCATTTATCTGTTCATTACTTTCAGCTTTGCTTTGTGTACAATCTGTTTTACAAGATTGTTGTTGTGTAGGTTTCAAATTTGCGTTTAATTCATTATTTAATGTATCGGTGGCATCACATTTTTGTTGTTCTTTTAATTTTGTAGCAGAATCAACTAGATTTAAATTGTATAAGTCTTTTTGCGTTTCACTTAAGACTTCACACTTTTTATATGTTTCATGATCCTCTGGATATATTTCTTCATCTGCACTTTCAAAACACTCACTGTCAGATGTATCCATTATCAATTTTTATTTATAAGTAATTAGTATTATGAATATTTTGAACCTAGGAATTCTAAAATACTAGAAATTGTAGAAATAAAAATATTGTTTTTCTGTCACTGTCATATCACCACCACCAGTCAGTCAGTCAGCAGCTCACGTTGTCACTGATTGTCACCTACGGGTTGTCACAGTCACACGTCATGTCACACGTCATTTATTGTATTTTAGCCAATGAGCATATATTTTTTACTGAAAGCAATCACCCTTTAAATTTAATTTTAACATAAAATGAATATTATTAGGATCATGGCCCCCTAAATTATTCGTTGATTAAGGGGGCATGTTCGGATCTAAATAATTGATACTACTTTTATAGTTATACGACGTCATATTACAATAATGGCTGTTGACCAGAACAGAAAATATAAGGTGTTAGAAGAATAAAATAAGTTAGTATGAAGTATGATTTAAATTTGCCACAAGAAATGAGGATTTGTTTATCTTATAAATAAAATATTTGTACTTTGTTGATTGGTGAAAACGTATATTTACGTGTCAGAAATTTCCCACAAAGTACAAATAGTAGTGAGGTGCTGATTCATACATTATTTTATAGTTGGTTAAAATTACAAAAATGGAACAAAAAAATATTTTGTGTCTTTTCGACGTTGATGGTACTTTAACAAAACCCGTGAACGTGATAGAACCAGAAATATATTCGTTTTTGTTAGAGAAGGTAAAGGCACGTTGTACTGTTGGTATAGTAGGAGGCTCGGACTTCAAGAAAATTGCATTCCAGATGAATGGAAATGATGTAATTCATAAATTACATTACGTTTTTTCAGAAAATGGTCTAGTTCAATACAAACATGGAAAAGAAGTTGGAAGACAAAGTATTCAAAATTTTTTAGGTGAAGATAAAATTCAGAAATTTATCAATTTTGTCTTAAAATATCTCTCAACTATAACACTTCCAGTTAAAAGAGGCACATTTGTGGAATTTAGAACTGGAATGCTTAATATATCTCCAATAGGTAGAAATTGTTCACAGCAAGAGAGAGATGCCTTTGAAATATATGATAATGAACACCATGTAAGGAAGACAATGATAGAACAACTAAAAAAAGAATTCCCAGATTTCGGTTTAACATACAGCATAGGTGGCCAAATTAGTTTTGATGTATTTCCAACTGGATGGGATAAAACCTATTGTTTAAAATTTTTAGAAAAAGAAGGCTTTGACGAAATTCATTTCTTTGGAGACAAAACTCATCAAGGAGGTAATGATTATGAAATTTATAATGATAAAAGAGTAATAGGCCACAAAGTTACTGGTCCCTTAGACACCAAAAAACAATTAGAGGAATTGCTTAATTTGTGATTGTAATAGGTATCTTATGTTTTTTTTGTAATATACTGTTATTTTTTATTATATACACAATATATTATATTATAAACAAATTTTTGATGTAATGAAAGTTTTAAGAAATAAAATTATTTATATTTTTTTATTTTCATTGGTATTTTCTGTATTATGTGTTATATATAATACCTTTACATATTCAAGTCAATTGAACAAATTTTTATCACTTATAAGCATTACTTAGAACTATTACTTGTATCACAAGGATGTGATAGTAAAACAAGTAGACAGACTGACTAAAAATATTTAAAAGTGTAAAGTATTGAATCAGTTTATAATCCAAGATAGTGAAGTAACATTTCAAAGAAGAGTGAAAGTCATTCTAAGATGACATAAGAAATATAGAGTTAAGACAAAACAACTGATTACTTATCTAATTACTAAAAAGTTTAAATAATACAAAACAAAATTGAAGCTGCATATCAACAGAATAGATGAAAATCAACCAGCAAAATTACAAACTGAAAGAAGAAAAAGTATAAGATGCCTATTGAAGAGATCGAGGAGAGTTTGATTCCAGAACTGGCAACAAATGGCTAAACCCTGGAATGAAGAATAAATGCAAATGAAAATGTAAATTCCAATTTTTGTTCCATGAAAATAATCTATCACTTTGAGGTTTGTTTCTTTTGTGCATGAGCTTTTAATGCAGCCATAGTCCTTTGCAGAATGTATGCTTACTGCAGATAAGATTTCAAACTGCTCAATGCACTTATACAACATGGTTTCAGCCTCCTAACGGCTACCAGTGTGTTTTTCATTATTAACTGAAAATTTGTCTTCATTAGCCTGGTCTTTTTCCTTCCATTGGACTTTAATTGGCAATATCTATTTTCATTGTAATTTAAAATCCGATATATTCTAATTGGTGGATTGCTTATGTTTTTAAATTCGCATTGATTGGTAGATAGTTACAAAGCTACATAATTTCTTCAAACAGCTTACATTTTCTCAAATTTATAATGTTGATGTTGAGATAAAATATTCCATCCTTAAATTTTACAAACGTTTTGATACCTTCTATATATTGTTTATCATTTACATGGAGGCACAATATCATTGTTATACTTTTAAACATCTTTTTATTTAATTTCATTTAAATTAATAAACTTAAAAAAGAGACAGTGGCGAGGCACTGTATGTGAATCGATTTGCTCAGTAATACTTAAAATCTGGAAAATAGTCAAAATAATTTAGATGTACAGTGTAAATTAATTATTAACAAAAAAAGTTATGATGTATTGTAATAATATACTCTTGATATATTTACATACTTTCGGCCCTCGGTCATAATGTAATCTTTCATTCTGCGTTTAAAATTTTCAAAAATATTTGTTAGTTTTCTCAGGATTTGAAAAAAATGAATGCATTTAAAAAGCATTGGCCCGAAATTTTGCGCCTACGCTCTTAAATAACAATTGTTTATGGTGGCAAAATACAAAATGTGTACAAAAATGATTTGAAAAAAAAACAAGTAATTAAAAAAATATATATAAAAAAACTACACTTCTTATTTGTAGAATATTTTGAATAAGAAAGTAGTTGTAATTTTTTCAAAAATTATCAAATTTTAGAGTTTAACTAAGCAAACTGTTAAACAAATTTACCATAATAAAAATATTTTTTTATAGAAGTCAATGAAATCTTATTTTAAAAGTATTTAATGGCGGTAATTGGAACTGGGAATTATAAGCATTTTTGATTTTCAGCTAAAAATGCAAAATGTAATCAAATAATATAGATAGAATTTTAAAAATTATATTATGGCTACCACCTGTTGGTGATTTGTATTAACTATAAAAACATATCTATTTCCATCTGTCGCAATTGTTACTAAGAGTATCCACTAGATGGCACGTGGCGTAGATAATTTAAAAGTTATACGAATGTTATAAAAAGTGAGTGAGAGTGTAGAAAAATTGTAAAAAAGAAAAAAAACAGCAACAAAGAAAAGCTGAGAAGAATTTAAAATTCTGTCGTCTCAATTAAAAACTTGACATGTCCATTTAATCGAATTTAAGTAAACCCGAAAAAACTTATACAAACTTTATTTCTGTTTAGAATAACTTGCATCAAACTAGGTATAATATTTTTTATTAATCATCGTAGAACTCCGAAGATTTCTTACTTGGCGAAATTAAAATAAGATATTTGTTTACTGCGCTTTCGACAATATTATGCCGAAGCAAACAGATTAATATTAAATCTCATTCGTCTTTCTGCTGTATTATTTTTGTTTGGTTATTTCTATGTCTCGGTCACATGATGAGGAACAGGGGAAGATATGGGTTGCTGTAATTCATTTTACAGACAAAAGCAGAAAGAAGATGAGGACCTTAAAGGCGAAAGATTTCCTGCCTGAAATATTCAAGATAATTTAACAAATAGGATAATGTAAGTAAAGAAATGTGGCGGGAACTACTTTGAAATCTTAAATAAAAAACTCCATTTTTATTGCAAATTCAGATTCGAAGTAAAAAGTAAACTTTTTAAAAAAAAGTAAACAAATTTTATCTGAAATTTGTTTTCAATTTTCAAAACTATAAATATATAAATAAAGAAAATACAAATCAGAAGTTTGGAAACTAATTTTTATGGTACTGAATACAGTTTTTTACTCTGAATCTGCTACAAAAAATGGGGGTTTCCATTTAGGATTTCAAAGTTATTTATAATTTTTTGATAATTTTTGGTTATAAGTTTTGATCCATCAAAAATAATCGACTTAAGATGCCTCAACTCAGCAGATATAGGTAGCGATCAGAGCCTAGTATTATATAAAAAAAAGAATAATCCTGAAATACTTCCTACACAAAAGAGCGGTGCCAACACAAACACAAAACATAAATACGAAATGCACGGAATACTTATACAGGAAAAGAATATCAGAGAAGATCGCTGTGAATGAAATATTAGAAAACGATAACATCGAGGAATGCTGGAAAAAACTCAAAAATAACATAATTAACGCAACAACAGAATCACTTGGAGAGAGGAAAGTAACGAACACTAACATATCTAAAAAGAAAACACCATGGTTTAAAGAGGAAGTCAAGACAAAATGTGAAGAAAAGAAGAAAGCCTTTTTACAATACAGAACACAACAAACACAGCCGGCATACAACCACTATAAACGAATCAGAGATGAAACGAATACTTTAGTTTGACAAATAAAAAAGGAATTCTGGCAGAGTTTCTCAAAACAGATGGAACACGACTTTTACGGAAGACAAAAATAAATATGGAGAATGATCAGAGGACAAAGTAAAGAGATGAACGAACTAATAAAAACGAAACACATTCAGAAGGAAACATGGGTAGACTACGTTCGATCCTTATTTGCTAAAGGTGACGTTAATGAACCACCAACATCAGAGGTGATGACAAACGAAGAAATAAATATTGAGGACGAAGAGGTAAAGTAAGCATTAAGGAAATTAAAAAATAGAAAATCACCAAGAGAGGACAGAATACCGAACGAACTCCTAAAGTACGGAGGACCAGATCTAACCAAACAACTATCAAAACTAATCTAAAAAATAATAGAAAACAAAATTCCTCAAGAATGGAGATCAAGCATCCTAATACCTCTAATTTATTAAACACAACACTAAAATTAACAATCAAAGTGATAAATAAATTGAATGAAATCATAACACTAGCAGAAGAACAACAATGTTTTGGTCGGGAAGATCATGTACCGAAGCGAATACAACAAACCGGCATATCTATGTTTCGTGGACCTTACAAAGGCATTTGACGAGATCAAATTAAAAGACGTGATCCACTTACTATACGGAAGAGAGATACATGTAGGAATAATCAAAACCATCGAAAATCTCTACCAAAATAACACAATAAAAGTAGGAAGATTCATTGAGTCCTCTATTGTCCATCCTGATTATGGATGAAGTAATAAAAAAAAGTAAGAACTAAAAAAAGGATACCAGATGGGAGGAAAACACCTTAAAATAATCTGGTATGCAGATTATTTTAATATACGATGCAATACTACTCTCTCAAAGTGAAGATGATTTACAACGTATGCTGCACCGATTTAATATAACCGCCAGAAAATTGAACAAAACCCCCAAAAAAAGACAAAATGCATGGTTACAACAGCAAATTTACTAAGATGTAAATTAGAGCTGGAGGGTCAGATAATAGAACAAGTGATGGAGTTTAAATATCTAGGCATCACATTATCTAGCTACGGAAAGCTCGAAATCGAAGTGAAAGATCAAGTGAATAGAGCAAACAGAGCCGCAGGCTGCCGAAATGAAACAATATGGAGAAATAAAAACATCGCATCGGGAAAGTAACGAAAGGCAGAATTTACAAAACAGTCATCAGACCAATATTGACATACGCGGCAGAAACAAGACTTGATACAGAGAGGACAAAAAGGATGTTAGAAACAGCAGAGATGAAAACACTTAAAAAAATTGATGGTAAGACACTATGGGACAGAGCTAGAAGTACAGATATATGACGTAGATGCAAGGTGTAGAATATCAAGAACTGGGTAAAAAATAGAAGAGTAGAATGGAACGATCATATAAGCCGAATGACAACAAATAGAGTAGTAAAGACGGCAAGAGACGGTTCACCAATAGGAAGACGATTAGTAGGAATACCACGAAAACGATGGAACGACAACTTACCGGAGGCACATTGAAAAACACACAGAGTCTTGTCTATATAAAAAGAAGAAGAAAAGGAAAATTTCTGAAGATACTATCGTCAAAGTGACATAATTTATTCGTTCCTTGAAAGGTAGAAAATTGCATTACTCCAGGAAAAAAGTAAGAAATCTCCCTGAAGAACTCAACATAACTAAGTTACATACTATGTATGTCAAGTTTCGCCAAATTTTTGAAACAAAGTTTAATATTGCATTCTGTTTCCCTAGGAAAGACACCTGTAGCTATTGTGATACTATAAAAGCGGAAATATCTGCCCTTTCGCAGAAATTAGATGCCAGCAGTGATGAATATAAAACCCAACTCTTGGGGAAATTATAAGAAAAAAACAACGAGAAAAAGAAAATATCGAAAAGTGTCGTCAAAAGCAATCGATACCGAAGCCATAACCATAGACTTACGATATAAGTACCATAGAACGATTTCACAACTTAATTATATAAGCTTTAATGTACATGTATTGGCCGATTCTACCTCTGTTTTCTATACTTATGATGAATCGGTATTAAAAAAGGGACTGACGATGTGTGTTCGATGATTCATCACTTTGTGTATAAGTACTGTCATCTCAGGTTCAAAATTTGATATTTTTCGACTCTTGTTGAGGGCAAAATAAAAAATACGTAGTTTTTCGGTTGCTTTATTATCTAGTTCAAACAGAAGGACGGTTTGAGTTTGTGAAAGTAATTTTTCCCTTAGGGCATTCCTATCTAGAGTGCGACCGGGATATGAGTTAAGTTATAGACAAAGCTTATACGGAAACTCCGGATGATTAGAGAGAAGTCCTCCTCAACAACATAGTGAAACCGAAACCGTTCCAAGTGTTGGACTGTGGGAAAGATATCAAATTTCTGAATTGGACTAAGCATTTCTCCAACAAGTATTCCAAGAAATTCCCAAATGCCTATGACCATGGGCGTCCACAGGGAGGGGCAGGGGGTAGCTGCCCCCCCCCTAGAGAGGACGAAGAAATTCGTGAAGAATTTACAGGGTTTGTTCAGCTCGATGCTCTGAATGCACCAAGCATTGCAAAGGCAATTGTTGATTTCCTGACAAATCATGAAGTTGATCCACTCAAACGTGTCGGCCTGGGGTTTGATGGTTGCTCCACTATGTCGGGAAAGGAAGGCGGAGTTCAAGCAATTTTAAGCAAAAAATACAGCAAATCTTTTTTTTCCACTGTGCGTCACACAGATTAAATTTAGTTGTGAACGATTTGAACCGTTTAAATGAAGTGCGAAATACTATTGCCACTATTAAAGACATAACCAATTTCTTCCGTGAATCAGTATTAAGAAGGAATATGATAGCAAATATCCCTAGCCTCTGCGAAACACGGTGGTCCGAGAAATACAAGGTAATTAGGGTTTTTCGAAAAAATTTCATTGAAATTGTACAGGCCTTGCAAACTCTATCCGTTGAAGGAAATTTGGCCACTAGAAAAACATCTTATCAGTTGTATTCTGCGGCATGCAAGTCAGGATTTATTGTCGCTGTCATTTTGATTGCAAAATATTCTGAATACCTAGAGCCTATAGTCAACCGCCTACAATCTGCGCAAACTAATGTTTTAAAGGTAGCGGAACATATTCGTCAAATCATGGATATTTTTAAAAAACACAGACAGAACGCAAAGAACGTAACGAACACTTTATTGCATGAAGCCAATAAGATAGCCGAAGAATGCGGTTTTGAATTATCTACCCCTAGAACTGTAGGCAAGCAACAGCATAGAAGCAATCAACCAGCTGATACGCCTACTGAATACTGGAGGCGATCCATGATTCTTACGTATCTGGATTCTATCATATCTTCTCTAGAGACACGATTTTCCGAAGAAAATACGTCAGCCTTCGCTCTGAGTCTTCTGCATCCCAAGCATTTTTCAAAAATTTATTTAAATTGCCTTAAATTAGAACTGAGACAATCCTTAAACCACTATGAAATAGATGGAATAGATGCAGAGCTAGAAGAATGGGTAGAACACTGGAATAAGAAACTCCTTAATAATGAGTTAGATAACTTCAACACCCTTGAAATGTTTTAACTGGATCGAGCATCCACTACTTTTTATCCGTTAACAAAAAAATTGCTGGAAATTCTCGTAACATTGCCTTGCACTACGTGTACATTTGAGAGATCGTTCAGCAGTCTTCAAAGAATAAAAACATGGTTGCGGAGTACAATGGTCGAAGACCGCCTTAATGGGTTAGCTCTAATGAGCATATATCGGAAACAAATATTACCAAAAAAGGAAGAGTTTGTAGAGAAAGTTTTACAAGAATTTACAATTGATCCGCGTAAATTGTTGTTTAAATAATAGTGTTTAGGAACAGACAATTTATATTGCTTCACAAATCGAAGGCTTATCCAGGAGGAAATAAACTTGTTAAATTTGCTTCACGTTTTTGTAAAAAGCATTAAAAAAGTTTTTAAATATTTAAATTATATTTAGTTTGCTTCATTTTATATGAAGGCGTTGAGCTATAATTTTGGCTCCAAAAACGTTATTTTCAAAACTTTTCTGAGGGAAACCCCTTTCCCCTCTCCCTCTCAGTAAAGACTCTCAATTTACATCTACATGTATTATCTTATCTAACCAATTTTTTTTATTTCTCAAATCTGCCCCTCCCTTAGTTTTGGTCCTGCGGACGCCATGCCTATGACACCTATTCGAGTGTTTGAAATAGGAAAAAATAGCCTTCAATTTATCTTTTACAATAATACCTATTCTGGGTTATTTGCAAGCTCGCTGTTTGAATGCAAAGTTAAACGAAACCAGAAAAGAAATTTAAAGAAAGTGCATAATATCACAACTCGGGAAGTTACTAGGCACAATTATCCCGAAGCCTTGTACAAGGGCCCACTTCCGGTCAAAGCTGCTAAGTTACAAAACGTAAACTTTAAAAAATTCTACACTGATTTACAATGTACTGAACAGGAGAGAAGTTCGTAGGAAGAAACGTTTTGTCGTGCAGAAGCTTGAAGGTACTGGGGAAGAAAGTTCATGGTCCATGGCGTCACACTCAATTTTTTGTATGTTTCGCAAAAAAAATATTTTTTGTCTTCTCTTGATTTTTCCTCTGTAAACATGTCAACGTACCACTGAAAAAATTTACCGATTTATACGGTTGAGTTAAAACAATTTGTTTTAATTTGAAATATTAAATTTCGATTTTCATGAAAACTATTTTTGTTGACTTTAATTGGTTTTTCCCTGACTCCTCAATTATTAACCTACCATTTGTCTTCAGAAATGCGCTGTTTGTTACTTGTTATGTTCTTCTTTTATAGTTTAGGATATTGTTATATTTTTATTATAGTTCTAATTTATTGTCTTTATTCTAATTTATTAAAACTCACGATAATTTATTATCAATTTATTAAATTACTTTACAATCATTTATCACGTTCGTACATTTTAAACCACGTTCCGCGAGTTTCTTTTCTTCACTAACTCCTCAATGAAAATCTTCCGTTATTTATTTGAAAATACAGCTATTCGAGAGTTCAGGAGAATCCCTCTGATAATTCTAGGCCGGGTCATCACTCGACCTGTTTCTCTGGAAACTTCGAACGGCCGTTTCAGGTATACGTCTGAATTTTTTACGTAACAATATGTTGCGATAATATGTGAAGTTGGTTGACTATCCGGTAATCATACCAGAGAAAATAAAGTTCGTGCAATTATCCAACCAAGGTTTAGTGTTAGGGTTTTTAAATCGCACAAGCGCCCTTACAAGAAGGATCAGTTACGTAACCGGGACCGACGGCTTTACGTGTTCTCCGAAGCACTGTGAAGATGAAGATACCATAGGCCATTAGGTGTTCTGTAACACAACTAATCTATTTCAACACATCATAGTTATTACGGGTATAATTTTTTTAAGGGAAAAACCCAAATATAATTTTCAATACAGGTGTATATAAAGTTAAAGTAATGATGATAAGATACTCTCAGCTGATATCAGACACTCGTGTCAGGTAATCCCAATTCCATTATTTCAAAATAAACAGACTATCAGTTTCAATTTGTTGCAAAAAATGTTAAGATATAGATAAAACAGTTGATAAAATTCTTTATAAATGCATCAGATTTGTTTGTCTCTAATGGTTTAAATAAAAAAAACTCGAAAGTCGAGCATTATAAGAACGGTGGACATACAAAAACTGAAACAAAGAAACGTAAAACAACAAATGCAATAAGAAATAAACACAAAGTTTAACGACATTGCAACACATAATAGGAAAGATATTGATACAATGTGGAACGAGATCAAAGAGGTATTAGTAACAACAACAATAAACAACATTAAACAGGAAAGACAAATAAGACAACCATGGATGACACATCAGATTTTAGCGTTTATGGAGCAAAGAAGAGAGTTTAAGAATAAAGACGCAGAAAAGTACAAGGAACACCACAAAAAGATACTTAAAGAAATAACATTAGCAAAAGAATCCTGGCTGTTAGAGAAATGCTTAGAAATAGAAATCATACAGAAAAAACATGATATATTCAGTATGCACAGGAAGATCAAAGAAATGGCAGGAATATATAGAACAGCAATGCCCACTGCGCTGTTTGATAAAGATGAAAACATACTATTCAATATGCAAGAAAAACTGCAAAGATGGCAGGAATATATAGCAGAACTGTTCAGTGACAACCAACACATTGAAGTATATGACAACGTCGAGAATGAACCAACAATAACAAAATCAGAAGTAAGATCTGCCATAAGTCGTCTAAAAAAGCAACAAAGTACCAGGACCTGATGGAATATATGCTGAGGTATTGAAATTGATAGAAGACAATCAACTTGACATGATGACAGAATTATTTAACCGTATATATGAAACAGGAACTTTACCAAAAGATTGGTACATGTCCATATTTATACCACTGCCAAAAAAGCAAATACTAAGAGATGTGAAGAACACCGAATCATTAGCCTCATGAACCACTCACTCAAAATATTCTTAAACATCATACACGCTCGCATATACAAGAAATTGGAGGAGGGTATTGCTGATGTACAATTTCGATTTCGCAGCGGTCTTGGCACAAGAGAAGTACTTTTTAGCATACAAGTATTGATACAACGAGCAAGAGATGTTAATACAGATGTCTTTGCCTATTTCATTGACTTCGAAAAGGCATTTGACAAAGTACAGCATGAGAGGCTTATTGAAACTTTGCGAATCGCAAACATCGATGACAAGAATATACGATTAATAGCCAATATCTATAGAAAACAAGTATCCAAGATTCAAGTAGACAATCAATTATCCGATGAAGTCTCAATATAAAGAGGAGTACGACAAGGTTGCATACTCTTGCCTTTGCTGTTTAATGCGTACTCTGAACATCTATTTCGAGAAGCTTTGGAAAGATATTTCCAAAGCTTCTCGAAATATCTTTCCAATTGTCAGACCACAAGCTATTCCATTCAGAAGGAGATTTAACTTCAAAAAGGCAAACTGGCAAAAATATGCAGACATGCTAGATTTTGAACTACTACGCCTTGAACCAAAAGTAGAGAACTACGAAAAATTCGTAGAGGTACTCAAAAATGTGTCTAGAAAAACTATCCCTAGAGGATGTAGACAACAATACGTTCCCGGATGTCCAGCGAGTCCAAAGAACTAATGAGAACATACGAAACCCTCTATTCCACTGACTCTTTTAGCCAAGAAACGGTTGACTGCGGAGCAGTACTACTCCAACAGCTAAGTCAAGCCAGACAGGAAAAGTGGATTGAGACCCTGGAAAAAATGGACATGACACATAGTAGCAAAATTGCATGGAACCTTGTAAAAAAACTCAGCGGTGATCCAAAAGAACATAAACCACCTTGCAAGGTTACAGCAAACCAAGTCGCTACTCAACTCCTTACGAATGGAAGAACTACTATCCGATATAAGGACCCAAACACTAGGAGAAGATTGGATTCGGAGACAAACCACCTAGGAACTCCTTTTACACTAAAAGAACTCCACGACGGTCTGAACAGGTTAAAAAACGGGAAAGCTGCAGGTGTGGATGATATATGCAGTGAACAAATAAAGCATTTAGGCCAAGGAGCAAAAAACTGGATCTTGCAATTTTATAACACGTGCTGCAAAACCTGCAAAATTCCAAAATCATGGAGGAAATCTAAAGTAATAGCCTTGTTAAAACCAGGAAAGCATCCAGAAGACCCCAGTAGCTACAGACCTATTTCGTTATTGTGTCACTTTTTTAAACTATACGAGAGACTCATACTCGCCAGAATAGAAAAAAATGTCGACAAGCACCTCATCCCACAACAAGGAGGATTCAGACCTGGCAAATCTTGCACCGGTCAAGTCCTCGCATTAACAGCACACATTGAAGAGGGCTTTGAAGAAAAACTTATAACAGGGGCTGCTTTTGTAGATCTGACAGCAGCCTATGACACAGTAAGGCACAAAACATTGCTCCGCAAATTATACGATACTCTCAATGACCACCATCTGGGAAAGGTCGTATATTCCTTACTGCAAAATAGACGTTTTTTCGTTATGCTGGAGGGTAAAGTAAGTAGGTGGAGAGTTCAAAAAAACGGCCTCCCACAAGGAAGTGTTTTAGCACCAATGCTCTTCAATATATACACAAACGACCAACCTACTCCGACCGAAACCAAGCACTTCCTCTATGCTGACGATCTTGCAATATGTGCTCAAGGAAATAGTTTTGAAGAAGTGGAGGAGAAACTTGAAACTGCCTTAAAAACAATGACAGCGTACTACCTGCAGAATTCTCTGAGACCCAATCCCTCTAAAACCCAAGTCTGCGCTTTCCACCTTCGCACAAAAGAAGCCGAGCGAAAACTCCAAATTGTGTGGAATGGTAATACATTAGAACACATAAACCAACCTATATATCTTGGAGTAACTCTGGACCGGTCCCTCACCTACAAACAACATTGTATAAAAACAAGAGGGAAAGTAACAACTAGGAACAGCATACTCAGAAAGCTAACGGGAAGTAAATGGGGCGCACGTTCTGGCGTTTTAAGAACA